TCTGCCTATTCGGCATAGGAGCATTTTTTGTTGAAGTCAGAGGAAATATGTACGTAATATGAAATTAATAAATCAGCTTTCCTCATGCCAATTTAAAACAGATGAAAAACTCTTTCTTTCTTTCTTTCTTCTTTGTGCTAATGGTCTGAGCTATGAGTGACTCATGTGCAATCACAGAGTGGTTTAGTTCTATTATTCCCTTTATTTTCTCTTTCTTATTCTCTTTGTTCTTGTTTCCCTTGATTACCACCACAAGGGGTGCATTTGACATGGGCAGAAAAGAGAGATAAATGCGACATCCTTCAGCAACGCCACTTTCCTGTACTTAAGTTCTTGATTGTTTGAAAACGAAAAGCACCAAAATAAGTCCAGAGGAACAGAAAATTTTTGAATTGTTTGTTAGAGCCAGAAGCTACACTTCATTGCAACAGTTACATTGCTAAGCCAAAAGCAAACTCAGTAGAATAGAAGGAAGGTCCAGATTTACTGATAGGACCAGAAATGCTTTGTAAATACAAATTACCACAAAACTAGTTAAACTGGTTTGAAATACTGACCTAATAACGAATTTGAATTCCAGGAATGGTATAAATCAGTCATGGTTGGAAGGGCATTCTGCTTTCCTTTTTTTTTCTGTCTCATCTTTGTGAACATGCTGTGTGTACATCATACCAGAGGAAGAATGAATTGTCTTCCATGTTATAGGGCAGAAAATAAGAAAGATAGAAAGCAAAAAAAAAAAAAAAAATCCATGAAAGATCCCAGAGAGTGTTTATGCTATACCATGCTTCCTCAATAGTGCCTTTTGTAAAATTACCTTAAACAGGTAAACTCCTAGAAAGGTTGAAGGTATACAAAAGCAAATATTGTGATAATAGATAGCTGCAGTCACATAACAGGCATGTAGTGGTGGAGCTCACAGCTGCTTCTTTCTCTGGAGTAAGACATGAAGCACTAAAAACAGCAACAAGCTCTTAGCAAAGGTGCCACAGAAGAGTAGTTTTATCAAAAAGACAGACTGGCTCTTGGAGAATTTCCAATCCCGCTACCCCATTTAGTAGAAGACATATAGAAGCATCTACTCAATATAGAGACTACATTCCCATAGAGCTTCTTATGGTAAGTGCTGTCAAAACCACATGGAAATACATCCTCTTTGATTTAGCTGCATGCTGGTTTGCTGGGGTTTTTTTGCAAGGTCTTTTTTTGTGGGTGTTTGGTTGGTTGTAAGGCTTTTTTATAAAGAACCTTGTGGCTGTTTGAGCCACCACAGAAATCCAAAATCCAATTTCCAGGCTTCCCCCACCCCTTCCCACAATTTATCTCAACACTGAAGAGAAACTTTCAGGCAAGAGGCTTCTATAGGGGAAAGGGGAAGTATATATACATTTATTTTACACAAATAAATATACTGTACAAACTAAAAGCAACTATATATATAATATTATACACTTCTATCAGTACCTTTAAGCTTTCTCCCTCAATTGAGTCCAGGAAAGAGCTCTTCAGGCTGATAGGTACCCAGTCTCTCTCTCGTGGGAGTGTTCGGGAAACCGGAGCACTCCCCCACCAACCTCCAGCTGTTTGCCAAACTCTTTTCTTCCTCACAAAGTCCAAGATGTTTCTGAGTCCTTTCTCCTTGGTTCCGTGCCATCTCTGCTGTGTGGTTCTCTCTCTCATACTTCATACTTTGGTTCTGTAGGCTGTTGTAGTGTAGTCAGCTTATCAAACGTCCTCCAAGTCAGTTTTCGGCTGCCCCCGGTCAAACCTCTGTAGGGCACCTGCCAAGCCTCTCTCTGGCCCATCTCCAATTTCACCTGGAGTTTTTCTCCCTGGCACCGAGACTCCTCCTCCGGCCTGTCTCTTGGCTCAGCTTCAAAATACTAAGCTTCGCATCCACTCCCACTTACAACGAGAGGGAAAAGCCCCCGCTCAGCTTTTGCTACAGGGGTTCAGTCCAGTTATGAACTGTCCCGAGCTCTGCAATCTGTCTAGAAAGAAGGGGTGGGGGGAAAGAGGGCCTGGCCTCCTCACAAGGAGCTTGCCTCTCTCTCCCTCTTACCTTCAGGTGTTGTGAATCCCTTCCTTCACAACACACACTCACTCCAGTGCTGCCTCCAACCCTGGCTTAGGCAGAGTCTTCCCCCCACGGAGGAGGGAAGAAGGAGGCCCTGCCACCCCCGGCCTTCTCACACCCACACACACAGCAGCAGACACAGACCAATTGCCAACAACTTCCGGTGGCTGTGTATATATGATTTTTCAGTAGAAGTGAACAAGACGAGCGGTGATTGGCCCTCCAGGGAAAACTGCCCTGCACCCAATCACCTCTAAGCCCCCCAGCTTCCAGAGGGGGCAATCCCAAACCATGACAAACCTCTTTACTGATATGCTTCAGCTAGATAACTGTGGAAGTAAAGACATAGTTTCCTCCGAATGTTGGCCTGTGTCTGGAACAAAAGTTGAATAACTGAAACTAGAAATAAAATACAAACATTTTCATTTAAATTATTTGTCCTCTGAGATAAATACACAAGAAATTCAGTCAGATACCTGAAATATCAGCTTTTGACAATAAGTTTGCATGTATTCTTTTATAGACATTTGTCCTTTCCCTAACAAATAAAATATTCGCTCTTTGACCAAAGTTGGCAAAATCTGTCCAAATTAAAATTCACTGTTTACTAAACTCCCTAAAAAAGCTGAAGGGGGAAATACCAAAGGAGTATCCTGCTTCTGCCTTTGAAAAAGATTTTAAAATTTAACTGCATATGTAATTCTTGCATATATTCAAATACAGAATTCAACTGAATGTATTCCGTGGCATGGGGTCTTATTTTTCAGTTCAGTGTTGTATAGAAGACCATGGTGAGACAATTTTGGTGTACTATTCTATTTGCATCGCCATGCAGAAGCCATGTAGAGATAGCTAGGTGCCTACCCATTAAGGTATGCACAACTCTCTGCCTGGAGATGCTACAATTTAGGAAAAAAAAAAAAGGGTAACAGAAAGTGCTGAAAGGAAGGAAGTTGTTTCTCACCTTCCTGTATTGAGAAACTAAGATCTAGAAAAAAAATTCTGGAATTTTTAAAACAAGTACAGACTTAGTTGCTCAAAGTGGCAGTCCCAGGCTTGAACTATAAAAACATTTTATGTGGGAGCTGCTGACATTTCCATCCCACAACGGAAAGGGGACTTTGTGTGTCCTATTTCTATCATCTGCCTGTACAGATTTTTGATTACTTCCCTTGCTAGGACAGCTGTTAGTGACCTAAAAACTCATCTGCATATCCAAGTACAGGTGGGATGAGGTTTCAAGAAAAAAATCACCATTTTATTACTCTCTTAATCATTTGTGATTTGGTTATTTGTTTTTCTATTTAAAGAAGTGCCCATCCAATGCCTTAGGCAAATGTGCATAAAACTTGAAACAATCCCATCAGTGTTTTCTGATGACTAACGAAGCAGCTGGTTTGAAGAGAAAAGCTTTCACCCGGGATCCCGATTGCTCCCAAAGCAGCTCTTTTCCTCCCACAAAGGTGCATTTCAGCAGACCTGCTGGAAGTCTTATGTGACATATAGACTCCCCAGGTAAACCAGTCTCCAAAATCTGCTTTTACCTTCTCTGGCAGCTTTGCTACTCCAGAGATTTCTGAGCTTCTGTTCTTTGCTCTGATGAAGATATGTACGGTGGCCAGGATAAACACATGGAGTAACAGAACAACAGCACATTTAATGTGGATGTGAAGATGAGCAGAAAGAAAGCTAAAGCATGGATATTTTGAGGAAATAGGAGGACATAGGTGTCCATTTGTATTAAATAAAAAATAACTTCTTTAAAACATGCTTTTACCTTTGCTCTGCCAATCAGCATGCATGGGAATTAAACATCTGGAGCTACTCTGTGTCTGAAGTTTGAAGTTTTTTTCAAAAGAAATGAACTTATAAAAGTTCATCTCCTTATGTCTGATTGAGTGCCTTCTGAAAAATTAACAATAAAACAGCTAAGGAAAAGTTGGCTTCTCTTTGCTAGAGAGCTAGGGGATTATCAGTGTGTTTTGAGGCTCACACAGTGATAGAAGTCATTTGTGTCTTCACATTACAAAAGCTAAGTCAGCCCTAATTGTAGTAATGATTTAGCAGCAGATTTCCTTATCATAACATTCAATACTTATATTGATATAAGCTTAGTAAGAATAATTTGGTGGAATGGAATTTAGATCCAGATTACATGAATGTAGATGTCTAAAGAAGAGATAGATATATACATTTCCTATGTACTTAAGAGATTTAATCAATACAGCCAACGAAGCCTGGAGAGCAAATCAAAGGCCAGCCTTTAAAAGTCTACCTAAGAGTAAGCTGAATTGCTCTCCAGGCTCCTCAGATTGTCCTGATCTACAGCCTCCTGCAAAAGTGCTAGAGGACCACAGGATCTTCTTGTCCTAGAATTCAGCAATGCACTTGCATATGGACACAAAATCCCTTACCTGGAAAGTCCTTTCTGTATACCTTAGCGTAGTGAGATGGGGTGAAGGCTACTTGCAAAATACAGAGTTAGAGGCAGCCTGATTTCAGAGCAGCAGTCTCTTAGTTTAAGGGGCTTCCCTCAGACACTTACCTCCCTATTTAGGTCTCAAATGAAATTAGTGATATTTTTCAGAAGGCCTGAGTACTCTCAGTTCCTGGTGAAGTCAACATTCTCACATGATAAGGGAAGTTTTAGAATTTGTTTGGGTAGCAAGTCTGACTGTAAAAGGTGTTGCCATATTTATTTAAAATTTAAAAGAATTGTATTTGGGTGTATACTGACACCCAATGATGTGAAATCAGACACTGATAAATTTTCAACACTACAAAACTGAATAAAACTTATAATCAGAGCAACATTTTTAAAAATGGTAAAAGATTTCTCTAAAAGAATCAATAACTTACTTCAGGAATAAAAAGTCATAATGAAAGTTTTACACAAATTGAAAGAATGGTAATGGATGAGAAATTTTATGAGAAAACTAAACTCAAAGATGGAATTCCAGCAGCACCTTATATTCAGCGTGTTGATGTCAGGGCACTCAGTGTCCTGTATAACCTCAGCAAATGAACTTCAGGACAGCCTCGGGAGTGTCTTTGTGCTGTGACAAATAGAAGACTGGAGAACCATTTCTAGGGCAAAAGAGCCAGTAGCATACAAACGTACACAGAGGGAAGAGAGTGCCTGGAAAAGAAAATGTTTATGGATATGAGTATTTCCACAATTATGTTTGTGGATATTTATCTACCTGTAGATAAAGAATCAGACCAGAGGCCTCTCATTATTATATTAAAAAAAGTCTGGAAAATATATCTCCCCATATACTAGGATTGGTATTAATATTGCACAGAAATAGTTTGGAGATTCTCTGTTCATTCTTACATACAGGTATAACACGTGCACATACATGTAAATATTACTTACAGTTGGAGGTACATTTAATTTGGTTCTTCTCTTGTTCTGGTATATGTCAGAATAACGTGCTAAAGTTAGTGGAGCTCTAAGTGTCAATGGGATGAGAATAAAAGTTTTTTTATTCCTGGTTTTAGGTGTTTGGGTCTTCCTTCCTTGCTTTCTTCCTTCCTTTCTGTAGTGAAGCAGAACCTAAATGCAGTAAAAGTTTGTGATTTTAAAAAATAAAAATTAGAAACCAGTTTTAGCATATAATTTTTCCTTTCCTTCAACTATGTAGTAAATGTTGTCAAATGCACTGTGATTTTAACTTCAGTCTTACTCATAACAGTAGCATTTAATTTTTATTTAATTTCATAAAAGCAAGTAGAGTTAATCTGAATCATGCTGGTGTAAATAAAGGGAGAATTGAGTTTTGAAAGATAACATCTTGCTGTCTGTTCCATAGCTGTCCAAATGGATGAAAAAAACCTGTTATGCTTGCCCAGACCATGTACCTTTAAAAGCAAACTGTCAGTGATTCATGGAGTTCCAATGAAATATGCAGCATTTATAATGCTGCTACATATGTGAACATCTCTCTGTACATGAATGTCATTTGGGTGTAAATATTCTAAGTTGACTCAAGCACATTTCTTCTGCGGAAACAAACAAACAAACAAAAAACCAATCAACCAACCATCACCAACAACAAAAAAAGTAAAATCTCTTTAAATATATAGTAGGTACCTATTAGATATTTCAGGCTGAATTCACAAATAAGTTCCTGGGAAAAAGAGGGGAAATTTTATTATTACCTCAAGGGGGGCCTCACTTAAAAAAATAAAATTTAAAAAAAACCCAACCAACCAACCAACAAACCCCACAAACCACTAGTGAGAAGATCTTAGAAAGAGATTTTTATCTAGCAGTTCAGGAACTTACTCAGGGTGTCATACACCCAAGTCAAATCTACTGTCCCTCTGAGGTGTTTTGAGTCTATATCATGCAAAAGAAGAACTTCAGGATTAGTCATTCCTGAATAGTTTTATGAGATAAGATGATGTGGGACATATTCAGTACTTCTTGTCTTTAGAGAAGCCAAATAGATATTCTTTGAAGTTTTAATTAGAGATTTTGTTGGAGCTCAACTTGTAATCAAAGTGAAAAACTAATCTTTTAGCAATTAATTTAGTTTTAATTTTCACTCACTCCTTACACTGTGACAAATGAAAGGATGACTACCTCTGAATATCTTCAAAGCTGATGGCTAAGATACTGTTCTTTAGTACTAGAGCTCAGTGACAATATTGCCTCTACCTTTTTGACCTTCAAGGGAATTAGTGAAGCATTTCTTACAGTATTACTTGTTATCCATTTTGCAGAGGGAAACAAGACTTGAGGAGAGTGAGCATGTGAAACTGGTAAGGGCACCTGAAGAAAAACTGAGTTTAAAAGCAAAAGGAGAAAGACAGAATAGAAACCAAATATCATAGGCAAAATTTTTATCCCATTATTCCTTCTCGCCTGTTATCAACAAGTACGTCCATCTTTATCTGGTACAATGCAAACAGACTTTCAGAAAGATACAGCAAAAGGCAGGGCTGACAGTTCTGCAGCCAGCTCAACAGCAGCAGAGTCTTTATTGGGTGCTATCTGCAGCACAAAAACCAAGCTGTGTGTCCCTTTTAAGCCCTCTTATGGAAACAACTCATAAATAGTAATGATTGATGCATCTTTTATCAAACACACATAGCTAATCCAGTAACTGGATCTTTCACATTTACGTGGCATTTTCAAGCTCATGAAGAACAATTAAAGCCAGCCACTGGGACATTCCCTTTTTTATCTTAATTCACCAAGGACTGGGGCTCCAGTCATTGTATCTTCTAAAGCTTTACAATATTTTTCTATGACTATAAAGGAGTTTTCTATTCTGCAGATTTTAAGACTGTAGTCGGAGGTTTTTGTTGCTATTGTTCACAGCTGAAGGAGAAGGTTATTTGTTTTACTAAGATAAGGTTTCTAAAACATCCTGCTTAAAAAAATACAACGAAACCAGATGATGTTTTCTCTCTTTTTCTAGTTATCTGTGATTTTCTACAGAAACTGAAATGTCATCTTACCTCCTGGATAAATTATCTTTTTGATTAAAACACAAGCGAAAAATCTCCAAGATATAAATAAAGGTCAGATGAAGAGGTTCAGTTTAGCACAGGCATTGCTAAATACAAAGTTGTTCAGCTGCACTTTCAAAAACTTGTATATTTTCCTTTTCTTTCTTTGAACACTCTCATGACTCTTACGCTATGCTGTTTTCCAGTAAAATCACCAGGGCCAGAGCATGGGCCCAGGCACTAGTATTGCAGTTGCCCTTCATGTTAGTCCTTAGTGCAGCACTGTCCTCTGCAAGCTCAGTGCATCTCAGACAGTGCCCAGGTAAAACCTGGAAGTTAGCTCGGGTCAAACAGCATTCTCACTAATCAGTTTGTTTGCAGTTACATTATTTAAATGTTAGAGTATCTCGCCATTAGCTATGATCTATACTGTGCTGAGGTAGTATAGATGTAATCTTATTGCCAGACCAGAATTTCACTCATTTCATACACCATCTGACCTTTTCAGGCATCTCCAAAATGAAGATTAAAATTGGAAGTTATTTCATTTATACTCATACACTTAATTGAAGACGTGGTTTCAAATTGCTTCAGTGTCAGATAATTGTGCTTAAATGTTACACCCTGGTTCAGAAGCTCCACACTTTTACCAGGTGTTACACTTTAATTTTGGACTTCAAGAGATTTGGCCTACACAAACTTTCGCAAAGTCTTTGATTCTTTGATACCTTGAGTTCACATACAGAGAAAAGGCTACACACTTTTCTCTAGGAGACTTCTTTTAAATTGGTGAGAAAATAGGTGTTTTGGCAATAAGAGTTTTACAGAAATAACATACAAACCAAGGAAAAGCATTTCACTACAACACCCAGAGCAAAGAACTCAATTCACAGAAGCACTGCACTTAATAGCAAGTTACTAGGCAAACACCAACCCAAACTTAAGTGACATTCAGAAAATAGGTGTTTAAGTTGTCCACAAGAGGAAAAAAAGAGAGATTAAGAGAAGAAAGAATAAAGAGAGAAAGGGAGGATAGAAACACATAGTTACCATTTAAAAGGTCTCAAGTTGACTGGCAAGGAGAACTACAGGCCAAGGCAATACGGAAACCTCCTGTGTGTCTGTTTATAGACTTTGGCTATTGTGGCCACTCCCTCTAGGTGGGACTTTTGGTTTACTGACCACTCATGGTACCACTTGCCAAACTGAGGGGTGCCACAGACAATTAGGGGGCACAGTGTGGGTGGGCCACCAGACAGACCTTATTGACAGCCTGGCCACACAGCTTTCCCTGCTATGTGCTCTAGGCCATATTGGCTGCAGGCCTAGGCCTAGTCCTTCTCCCCCCTGCCCCCAGACATGGGTTTATTTGACCCATCACTCAAACTACCCGGTGAGATACGAATCTAGTCTCTGACATAAGGCATCTAATCTTGCAATATTATAAGAAACTTTTCTCCTGGGTTCAATGAACACCACTGTTGTGGTTTAACCCCAGCCAGTAACCAAGCTCCATGCAGCGCATCACTCACTCCCCTACAAGCAGGATTGGGCAGAGCATCAAAAGGGCAAAAGCTAAAAAACTCATGGGTAGAGATAAAGACAGTTTAATGGGGAAGCCAAAAGCTGCACACACAAACAAAGCAAAACAAGGAATGGGAGGGCAAGTGTTCAGCCACCTCCAGGAGAGCAGGGCTTCATCACAGGTAATGCTTACTTGGGAAGACAAACGCCATTACTCCAAACACCCCTCCCCTCTCCTCCTTCTTCCCCTCATCTTTATATACTAAGCAGGATGTCATATGATCTGGAATATGACCCTTTGGTAAAATATCCCTTTGGTCAGTTTGGGTCACCTGTCCCAGCTGTGTCTCCTGCCAACCTCCCATGCACCCCCAACTTCCTTGCCAGCGTGGCAGTATGAAAAGCAGAAAAGGCCTTAGCTCTATGTAAGCCCTGCTCAGCAATAACAAAATAATCTCTACATTATCAACCCTGTGTTCAGCACAAATCCAAAACATAGCCCCACACTAGCCACTGTGAAGAAAATTCATTCTACTCCAGCTGAAACCAGCACTCCGATGAACAAAGAGAACCAGGAAGTTCCACCTGAACATAAAAAAGAACTTTTCTGTGGGGATGATGGACCACTTGCACTGGTTCCCCAGAGACGTTGGCAATATCACCTTCCCTGGAGATATTCAAAACACAATCCTCAGTGATGTGCTTTAGGGAATGATGCTTGAGCAGGGAGGTTGGACTAGATTTACCTCCAGTGCTCCTTTCTAATTTTAAGTATTCTGTGATTCTGTGACCATGATCTCAGATGGAATTGATGCATATCACAAGTTTTAGCCATTGAAAAGAGTTATTTTAAGTGACTGCACAACAAAAATCTTCCACATTTTATTACATCATCATAAACAGTTTGAGCAGGACATGTCTTAAATCAGCAGCATAACTAACAGCTCTCAAGCATAAATCTCACATAGAACTTTGTTCTAGGGTGAGATACTATTAGTCAACAGGTCATATCTTCTTCCCACTTTTCTTTCTTACTTATAGAGATATTGAAAGCCTCTTACTGGTACCTAAAAGACCAATATGTATTATGATTGGACCTAACAGCTTACTGCATTAAAGGTAAATTTCAAAAATGTAAGATAAAATGTTGATTTTCTTTTTTTATTAAGACCTACTTTGAATTCCAGACAAAGAAAAAATATTTATTTAAGGAAATTAAAGAAATATAGGACACAAGACTTAACTGTTGCCAAGGTTTTGCACAAGCACATGGAAACCGATTGACTGTTTGTAATCCACTGAAATAAACCAGCTACAACAGAATCAAAATTCCAACCAGGTATTTTTAATGTCTCTTTAGTTTGAGCAGAATAAGATAACCTCATATTAATGGATGGTACTGCATTATGTAAGCAAGATTAGATATGTAGATAAATAGTATGTTGTCCTTGTCTTACACAATTACTTAAAAAGGAATACCCAGATTACATATAAACAAATACCCAGATGAAAGCTGATCTATAGTTTCTGAAATAATGTTCAGTGAAACAGATTTGTAAAACTATTTATAGGTCCAAGAAGAAGTGCTTCAGGGGCTGTTTGAAGACTTTTGCCTTCTTGGGAGTGTGATTTGAGAATCATGCTGGTTTAAAAAATTCTTGGTAGCTAGACATCTGCATTATTTTTAAATCTAAATATATAAAAATCCCAACCAATTTCAGTATTGCCTAAATTTCAACATCTTCTTTATATGCCCAGATTGCTGCTGCTTATTTTCCCCAACAAGGTAAATCACATAGCTGAGGTCACAGAGTGGAAAAATATAGTATTCTTATTTGTCCAGGTGAAACTAAGACCCATCTCTTCTTTCTCTTTCCCTTTCACCCAGAAGGCAGAGGTCTCAAAGGACTGTAGTGCCAGGTCAAAAGTTAAGAGCAATACCTTTAGGTCTTTTCTTCTGCTAAGGCATCAGAAGTCTTTCTTGAGTCCTCTTTTTTTTTTTTC